CTGTATACAAATGTGACTTTTCTGGATACGAATTTCTGGGAGTCAGCTTCCTCATATGACTCTGAATTGGCACCATAGGACATTTCCATCCCTCCCCTGGGCTTTGGTATGTTAAATGCCAGGCTCTGCTGACAAGAGCCTGATGAGAGAGGAGCTTTGGATGTGGTGAGTGAGACCTGGCCCTGCAGAGGCATTCTTGCCTCATGTCTGTTAGAAGTTTCCTTGTCTTCCTCTAGGCATTGGAGCATTTTCTGTGCAGTGGTAAAGGGATCACTTCCCCTCTCATACTGTGTTATGGGTTAGAAAGTGAGGAGAGAGTTTGTAGATGAAATCCCTGACAGTCCATGTTTTCGTGGGTGGTGTTGGTGCTCTCCTGATGTCACCAAAGGTATGAAGCTGAGAACACTGAGTCAAGTAGGACCCTCTGTGGACTCTCCATTCCCATTTTCTTTTCCTCTCCAGTGGGAAATCCTTTGGACTTGAGGGCTTCAGGTACATAGGAATCATGAATCCCAAATCTAAGTCCTCGTCTTCCCACTTACATCTACAGCTGTTATTTAGTCCTTGAATTTTTTTAATGGTGTCTGTTGTCTTGAATTAGAATATAGAATTGATGTTGTCTTTCTTTGGAGAAACTCTACCTCATGAGATATGTGTATGGTTTTATTTGGATTTATAGTCTCCAGCAGAAGAAAATTTCTTTAACATGTGGTGTGTTTCTATTGACACTGTTTCAGTTTCATCAATTAAAACTTCTCAAAGACAGGAACGCATATTACAAGCCATGTGAAAGGTGGTTTAAAGCATCCTAAAATCTTAAGAATAGAACATCAACTGCTGATTTTGCAAATTCAAGTTGAAGCTGAGGATGATGAGAACCAAAATGTTACCTTGATTGTATCCCACCTGAATGTAGAGACCATGTGCAGACTGAACTCCAGACGAATTGTAGGATGACATCAAGAACATCGTCCGTGCAAAAATAAAATGATCATTAAAAAGATAGGAAAGGAAGAAAGCACCAAAATGGGTGTCAGAAGTGACTCTGAAACTTGCTCTTAAATGGAGAGTCGCCAAAGCAGTTGGTAGAAATGATAAGATAACAGAGCTGAACAGGAGAGTTCAAAGAGTAGCTCAAGAAGACAAAGTCAGTTATTATAAT